GATTTTCATATCGCAGAGACTGTCATGATAACGTTTAGCGCGCGATGTGAATCACGCAGAGGATTGTGTTTTCATGAGCGGGTGGTTTGAATTCACGCATTAAGAATCATTAAATATCTTCGTAAGGAGTTAATTTCGGTAATTTCCGTTGTGTGCATCGTGTTTTACGTAAAATTTTGGTTGAGAAACATGTATCAGAATGCTGAAATTCGTACCTTATCTAGTGGTCCATTTGCTGGATCCGCCAACGTTCACTATGCCGAATCAAATTTTCATTAATTTTTGGCTATTGGGAGACAAAACTCCGCTAGGCAGAGATTGGATTTTTTTCTTCGACAGGGATACCACTGTAATGTGCAAATTACCATGTTAAAGCTCAGTCTTATCGGAAAATTTAATGGAAGAGCTGATAACTTTCACAACGGAAGTTAGATCCTCTAGGACGGTCTCAACTTTAGGATATTTTTTTGAGCTTATCGAGACCTGAATATATTGACAAAACCAGGGTGGCCATCGTGTTTACTTCACATAAATTTAAAAAGGCAAGTTTATGAACTATGAGGTCACTGATACTAACACACTGTCACTCTTCGAACGAAAAATCGTAATTACATTGCGACGTCGTCGCTAAAACTCCATTCGCAAATTTCCCTGTTCCTGAGACTGTAGGACCTTTCTAACCGAAAGTTTCACTGGTGTTTCTCCAGATCATAGGAAGAAAATATATAAAATTTTGGTGCATAGTGCGAAGTTACAATTTCGTTGAAATAAAAATAAGTTTTAGGAGTTATTCTTACAACTTTGGAATGGAGATACCAGCCTCCGTCTGAAAGTTGAGGAAAAGTGAGGAATGATTAATGTGCATGGCAGTATGGTAGATGGAAGATAGAGTATAAATCGACGATTCCCACTGTACGGTTGAAAAATTCCCCGTTTAACAAGGGTTCCCCCTGGGTAAATTAAAAGAAGAGGAAAAGGGAGTAACTAATAAAAAGCTACCTGATAAAAATTCGCGGTTTTCTTTCATTTTCCAAAGATTTTCTACAGGAAAACCGCCTAGATTTTTTTCAGGAGCTCAGAGAGGAAAACAATTAATTTTTCCAGCTTTTGTTAAATTCTTGAAAGTCAAGTCAACGCACAATACCTTCAGAAATGATATGAGTTCAGATTTAATATCACATTTAATAGAACAACTCATGGGTCTACAGGAGAACACCTGTACAGGCGTGCTTAGGAAGAACGCCGTATGAACCTTCACATATTGCCATATTTCCTTCCACAAAAAACTAATTTACTGGGATAATTCTGAATATTTTTCCTCCAATTTTTCAGACAATATTGTTCTCAATTTCATCTAAAACGTCTGAAAATGTTACGATAAAATATGCATAGTTCTCGAAAAATAAAAATTTCATTGAAGTAATTTTGGCGAATCTCGAATAATCATACGACGTTTTTCCTTAGCACGGCAGTGTGGGTACCTACCGATTTGCTTGAAAGTTTCAGGGGAAGTTTACTGTAGTATAAGAGCAATTTCTCTAAAATTTCCAAACTAATCGGTACAGCCATCTTCTTGGAAACAAACGTATTGTCTGCAAACGGCACGATTCGGTAACAGGGAGTGTCACTTGCTTCTCTCGTAAGAGACACGGTTCAATTATAGGATACTCATGAAAAGTAAAGTCAATTCCATAAAAAAAAGCTCTGAAGCACATCATGAGAAAAAATGAGAGAAGAATAAGCGATAGAACGTTCCATTTCGCTCTCCCATTTATCACATGTATACATCATAAGGGTGACTCCAAAAATGATCTGGTCTAACCTCTATCACCGCAACTCCGCGGGACAGATAAGCGACAGCGAGGCAAGTTAATGTTTTCCATTATCTACCTTTGAAATGGATTCAACGTCCGAAAAGATGCTAGCTGGGAACACTCTAGCTTGATAAAAATAATTGTTCTGTAGAAAGCGAATCTGTTTCTATAGGTTCTGGTTCATACGAGGCAGTGAAGGCACCACGATATTCACGTTAAAATGAGTCAAAATTAAAAAAATCTCTGGGTTGCTGAGAGTTTTGCCACATTCTGCCTACAGTCCTTTTGACCCCTTAAAAAATAAATAAGAAAAAAAAAGAAAACTGGATGAAAGAAAGAGGGGAGGTCCAGAAAAAAACCAAGTTTCATGGTTAAAATTTGTTGAAATGGACAATTTTTGGGAGAACAGTCAATGGTATCTACTTTCTGACAAATTAATGATGGATATCCAGAAAGCTTCCAACTTTAACGGGCGCTGAGTTGTATAAAAGCATGTACAAATGTAAGCCAACACATGTTCATATTTTTACCGTATTTACGATAGAAATTGACCGTGCATATTCTGACGTTCAGAGATGTTGAAATAAACAAAAAATGATGTAAAATTAGAATGCAGTTTATACGAGGTTAAAATCCTAGTAATGGACCACTAGATAAGGTACGAATTTCAGCATTCTGATACATGTTTCCTAGTCAAAATTTCACGTAGAACACGATGCGCACAACGAAATTTACCGAAATTAACCTCCTTACAAAGATATTTAATGATTCTTGATGCGTGAATTCAAACCACCCGCTCATGAAAACTCAATGCTCTACGTGATTCACATCGCGCGCTAAACGTTATCATGACAGTCTCTGCGATATAAAAATCTGGCAACCTCAATCTTGACGCTTTGGCTCAGCTATAGCAAATTGCTAATAGTTTGAACACACATGATGGGAAATGAACATTGCTCGATTGAGAAGCTTGCTGAAACCGTTGTAGTGGGCGATTTGACTCACGTAGAGTTTTGAGTTTCTTGTGAGCGGGCAGTTCAAATTCCTCGTAACCAATGTGTAATAAAAACGTTAATATCTTCGTTAGGAGTTGGTTTCCGTAATTTTCGTTGTGTGAATCGTTTTCTACGTGGAATTCTGGTTAAGAAACATGTATCAGATCGCTTAAATTCGTACCTTGTCTAGTGGTCCATTACCTTTGAAAAAAAGACAGATTTGACCTCTGTAACTTAAAAAAACTTATGACAATGTCTCAAAGTTTCAAAAAGGACATGACGCGCTATAACTCCCGGATTCTTAGCATTTTTTCGAAGGAAAAGTGATACGAAGAATCGTAAATTGCAGAGAGGAAAGTTTTCAGTGAATGATGAGATTCAGATATTTGCGAATCGCAAACAGGAAAGAAACACTAGTCCAAGGAAAAAAGAGATTCGGAGAATCGTAAGTTGCAAAGATCATATTAACAAAGTTGAAAGCACAATGTTGTGAAACTTAATGACGAGCATTGCTGCCATGTGTTGATGAAACATCGAAAACATATTACCGAGAAGCGGCCAGACACGATGGAGACATGGATCCATTACACTCAAGATTTCATCATGTACAAATTTGAGATTGCCTGTCCCTTAACAACACTCTTACGGCCTGGATTTTGCACCCTGAGCCTTGGGTGGTTTTCAGAGCAATTAAAAAGAGCTGAAGAGAAAAGTATCTCAATTTGATCGAAAAAACATGAGAGTTAGTTGTTGGATCCTTTTACAAAACCTTGACAAAAGAAAATTTCGAAAAAAAGTCATTATTGTAGATGTTGGGAAATTAAGAGTGGTAATATTTTGCTGATTTTTTTCCTGTACTCAGAAGAAAAATTCGACTTCATTTTCCGGTGAGGAACTTCTGCTACTGGCTCATTTTAAAAATAACCTGAGTGCCATTAGTTTACTTCGGTGGATAGGTGCTTTCATAAATGCACAGGAAAAAAAACACATTGGATCTAGAGTCCAGACTCTTAAAAACATCGACAAGAAAAAATACTCTTGATTCGATCGGATTTTTGCTTAAATCAAGAACCAAGCCTCTTAATTTGAGCATTTTCCTTTTAACTTAAGCAAACATCTTATTAAATCAAGGGTATTTTTTCTTGTCAACGTTTTTAAGAGTCTGGACTCTAGATCCAATGTGTTTTTTTCCAGTGTGAGCCGGAAATACGGCAGTCGTTTCTTATTGCAGAATGAAGTCCAATAAGTGAGACTCCCAACACGTCTTGAGTAGTGACTCATGTACAAATTCCCTGACTTTTCCCTGACATTCGAATAAGACTTCCACTTGGATTTCTTCCTTTAAATTACACGAATTTCTGATAATCGCTAAACACACTAAATTCCCTGACTTTCAGTGAAAAAAAAATATCGGTGTATTTACTAAGAAAAGGGTAAAATTGCCAAGAAATCAGGGTTCTATTTGATCCCAGTTTTTTCTTGGTAAAATTACCATTGATGGAATTGGTAATTTTACCAAGAATCTCGGTAAAATTATTGAACTTTCTCGGTAATTTTACTGGACCTTGGTAAAAACGCCAATATTTTTTATCGTCTGTGGTAGAATTACCGAGATAAAATGGCAAAGTTACCGGGAATCGATAACCAATAAAAGTGGTATTCTTACCCGAAAAAAACAGTAAAAATACCGGTTTTTAGGTAAGCTTACCAGTCTGTCTTGGTAGAATTACCAACAATTGGTAAAAAAAAGTGAGATGGTAAAGGTACCAACGGACCTTGGTAAAAACGCCGATAATTTTTTTTCAGTGATTTCCTGACTTTTTCCGGTCGTCGCAAACTTCCCGACCGGCCCAGTTTTCCAGACCGCCGGCAACCCTCCTGCGGACTGATTATTGAAATTGATGGACAAAGCTATAGACAAAGAAGACATGGGGGGTATGGAGCGATCCTATCGGTTGAAATGTGTGGTTCTTATAGACTACGGGAGAAAATGATAGACTAACTGTCGGGTTTCTCGAGGGTTGCCGTTAGTTAGTCTATTCCTACTGCCTTTGTCCATTGTAACCACCAGCTTCCACCAATAGGTTCCCTCCATATAGCTTTTGTCATCTTTGTCTATAGCTTTGTCTATCAATTTCAATAATCGGCCCGCTGGGTTACTCTATACGCGAGGAAAAAGAAAAGAGCATACCTCAAGTTATTATAATTCAATTTGAGATTGATGATGGTTAATCCAAGTTGCTCGAAGCCTCGATCCCCGAAATCCCTCATTCCGGAGAAGGCGATTTTCAGGACGATCTGCGTCTCGGGGTCGAATTTATCCTGCAGGGCGTTAACGATCGTGCCGAAGGACTCGATCTTCTCGCAGGTCACCTGGATGAGGCCAGGGTTCAGTTCCAGATGGGCACAAGTGCACGGCGAGATCTCCCGTCGCATGGAACAGTGGAGCGAAGACCCCGCAGTCAACGCCATCAGACCAACCGTGAGGGTGGATATCACCACGAGCTCGCACAGTAAAACGGTTTTCAAACCCATTATTCAATTATTTTCACACAATTCGTACAGTTTCTCACTGTTTCAAGGTTAAAACGTCGCGCTGTGAGGCTTCACCTCAGACGGAAGACTTTCGAGCCCTTGAAAAACTTCATTTCCGGTCGTGGAGTCGATTTCCGGTTCGGTTCAATTCCCGGCAGGATCCCGAATCAAACGCACCAGCGGTATTTAAGTCTGCGAGCTTTGGGCGCCGAAAGTTTCATACTTCCGAAAAACTACCGTCAGCACGGAGGTCTTTTAAAAGCGATTTTGAAATCGGAGAACTGATCTATCTACCGGACACTACAAAACCTGCACCACACTTCACAAATCGAAATTAACCGACTTCGAATTTCAACCGGCACCAGAGAATCGGACGCTCAGCCTCAAGGTTGGATCATAGTCGAGGTTCACACTGGGGTCAAAGTTTTTCGCTGTTTCCGTCAAATTCCGTTCACTTACTCTACGAACTATTTTCGAAATAGCCTGGACGCACCGCGAGATGGCGCTGCGCGGACCGGATCCCCGGGACCGGAAACCGGTCGTCACGGCGGGCGGAAACTGAAGCACTGGCAAGTCGGGAAAATGGTCGGGGGGCCGGTGACGCTGGAAACCGGAAACCGAGGGGTTTGAAACCGGAAACCGAGGGGTTTGGAACCGGAAACCGAGGGGTTTAAAACCGGAAACCGAGGGGTTTTTTCGGGGGTCGTTTCCGGCGGGACTCGAGAGCGACCGGCGCGGGTTCGAAAGCTGGGGACTCGCGGCACCGGTTCGCGAAAACTTGTGAGCGCGGCGATTATCGGTCGCCGGGGTGGGGGCGGAAGGTGAGTGGAAGACCTCCTCTATCGGCGGG